AAACAGCTTAGTAATGGGGTGTACATACATATAACCTTTGCACTAAGTGATATGACCAGCAAACAGCTCTTAAGAAACGTAACGAAAGATACTCTCTTTAAGTAAATATATGCGCTCTCTCGGGGGGCCGCCGCTGTGAATGGCGCCTCCGTGTATAAAGGCCGCGCGTGCGCGCCGCACGCTGGCATGGCTTGACCGGCCGCCGAGCGCGGGGGTTGCGGCGGCAGGCACTTGCAATGGAAAAGAAGCGTGCGGCAACGTCTCGCAGACGTCCCGGCGACATCGGCCGGGCGACCGTCGTAAATGCCCGTCGGAAAGGTCCTTCTCTGAACCGCGCCCACTGGGCCGAGGCAACCTTTTTGTCGCACCCTGCTGATGCTCCAGTCGTTTTGGAGGAATGTTGCAGCGATGCTGCAGCAAAGCTGCCCCCGCTACACTTCAGAAACGCTTCCGATGGCGTCACAGCAACATTGCGCCAACATGTCCGCAGTGGATGGGCCACAAGTTTCCAACAACTAAACTCCTGCAAACAGAATAAAAAGCTGGACAAAGTGGTCAAGACAACAAAAACTACCGGGGCCAATATAAGAAAGTTAACAACGGGTGGAGCAGACGAGGCTCAAAAAGGATTTGAGCTCACCGATATCGCTGTCGAGGCCAAATCAAAAGCATATCCCAATAGCAGTGATTTACCCCCTTTTGCACATTCAGTAAATGTTAATGAGAAACTTCACACTCTTAGGGAAAAAGCATGCATTCTTTTGTCTACATTGCCTGCCTTACGTACCACCTCCCATTCCCTTTGACAAAAAATGTCAGACAGAACTTTGGCATCATTTGGCTTTGCTCTCCTCGCTAAGACCAAGAAGCTGAGGAAAAAAAAAAAAAGACGGACGGTGCTTACGGCAATAATTTTATGTTCCAGGGGTCCCGCCCTACTACCTTTAGTGCTACGAAGCATCCATTCAAATCTTCTTCACAACAAACTCTGCTAGACCGAATAACATCACGCAGATGTTATTCGGTCTAGCAGCATGATGTCAACCTCCATCGACTCGTCAGGTGGCGAAAGCCATTACCGTAGTCGGACAGAGACCACACAAAAATAAAAACGTAGCCACCCATGAAAAATAGTCCCATCACAGCCCCGAAACTTGCTTGTAAGGGTAAGTAGAAACGAAAGGGCTTGTGGGAGTAGACTGATGTTCGGGTAAGACAGTTCTTCCGAGCGGACAGCTGACCCGACTTGCTGCTGGGGAACTATGTGTAATGCCGTGCTCTATTTAAACTTGGGCCCATCCCTCGGTGTAATCTTCTTGCATACGATGCCGCACCAGCATATTGGCTGCACCCAGCACTTCTGCACTCGAACGCACAAGATCGAAGGACAAAGTACTTGGTTCAATGGTGGGACCGTCTGCTTTAACGAGACTATGACTAAGCCACGTCGTAAGAAACTTCAGCGGTTCTTTCACGGTGGGGACAGAATTTTGGTGACAGTAAATAAGATGAAACCGCGCCCTTCACAGAAGTCCAGAAGACTTTGGTACTGTGGTCAACTTCTGCGTTGACCAATCTCCACTGGCTATTCATGAAAGTTGTAACTTGCTTTCTGCGGACTACGTGCGGAGGACCCGATACAGCCCCGTGACAGTTTCTGTGACTCTCAATGCGTTCTGATAATAAAAAATCAAGCAATCAAGCAGTGCTCCGATTGTTTCCGCAACATTCCCAATTAAACTTTGAGCATCTTTCGATGTGATTAGAGTTGAAGCGACTTTCTAGAAATAGCAGGCAACAGCTTCAACAAAATAAAAAAACAAGACAAAAAAAAAAAAAAAAGATTGAAAGACGAAATTTAACAGCCTATTCCAGATTGTGGGAAAATTAATATTTTAAAAGCTTAAAAGGCCATAAAACTAGCGCTACCAGGCGTTCAAAGTAAGCAATAAGCCCATTTGAGCTAATCTTTGCTAGATCAATTGAAGCTTTGTCTTAATTAAGCTATTATTTCAGCTTAGATTGAGCACAATCAACATGAGGGTGGCAGTGAAAGCGGTATTGCTTTAAATATTTGGTGACAAGTGTCCAGCATCTCCAACATCTTGGGAAATCTAAAAATATAAAAAAACAAATCTTGATTTATGCATGACTAAAAACCTAAAGGAGATTACAAATACAACATAAATTTAAACTACTTTCTATCACCTGCATCCCATAACAAGAAGACAAGCTGGATCTTCGTTGTACCATATAAAGTGTACTTCAAAAAATTTCTGATAGTTAACAGACATAAGGTTGGTCAAGTACAACTGCCAATACACCATCTTTCTGTAACAACCAGCAACAACTATGTGCTCATCATCTGGGTATGTCTGCGCGAGTTTCATTACGCAGTCATTGTTCTTCCAATAATAGTGTTTTGTATGGCTCGTCGATGAATTAGCATGCTAGTGCAAAATTGAAACTACAATGCCAGGAAAATATTGTTAAAGGCAGAAATCATGCCTCTGTAGCTCCTGGTGTTGCTTGCCACACAAGTCATAGCTCTGAAGTCATTTTCAGTCTTAGAAGCAACTTCAAAGCTATATATCAGCTACATATAAACATCCACCTATGACAAAGTCAGAAAATGATTGACGTAATTAATGTAATCAAATGAAGACAAAAATATTGGTCAAAGTGATTTGTCTTTCTCTAAATGTCAATTCATACGGAAAAAATAGACTAAAAATACAAAGCAACTTTTACACTCATAAAGTTTCTTTTTTGCTGCTAACAGTAAGCCACCTTGCAACTTCTCTACCACATTTAACTTTCATCTAACCACTGACCCAAGCACTTGTAGAATCATATTTTATCTTATATCTACCAGAAGGAACCACGAAACGTTGCAAACGACAGGTTCCAATTTCAGGAAAGCGTCGAAGAAACTGTCACAGTGCACTTATTTTGAGGGAGAGGTAACAACGACAGGCAGCGAAGAACTAAAGTGACTCCAAACAGCCTGCTTTGCATTAAATATGCAGATTTATGAAACTAAATGGGAGTGGCACCTGCATACTTTGGTTGCATCTAATTTAGTCGCTTGTAGCGTTCGAGAGCAAAATCAAAGTGTCGACAGGGTCTGTATCCTTTTACCAACGTCGGTCGGGCAACGTGGGTCAAATACACGTATTGATACAGGCCTTAGTTTTTTTTTCCTTGAATTTTGAAAAAAAAATTGAAATCGCATAACATTTTTATAACGTTTCACCGGAAGATAGCGGCCATTCATGCCGAATGCCTGTCTGCTGCATGCTGCAGAAAGCGACGGGGGACATAAATTGCAAGGATCAGGTTTTGCAACAGATTACAATGAAAACCAAGAGTTGTAAGGCCCAGGTTGCACAACAGGCAACAATAAAATATGCGTATTGCTAGGCTCAAGTTGCACAATAAAAAACAACAAAAGATGCGAACTGCAAGGCCCAGGTTGTACGACCGCCAAAACGCTATTGGATGCCGGTTGCCTCGGCCCCCCCACCCCCTCACCCCCACCCACCCCAAAATGGCTATCACAGAAAGAGAAGAAGACGTAGGTTGCGCGGGGCATGCTTTCAGCGGAAGCGCACCAACAATGAGCTCACTACTCTGGCGGTGTCTCACGAATTCGGTGTCACGTCAGGACGGCTCAGGCGTCTTTGTTCCGGGCTGGTCTCGTTATCCGTCTGCAGCACCTGCCACATCGACCCGTCGCTAGCATAAGCAGACGACACCTCCATTCGTCTACAAACCACCTACAAGCAATGTATTCGTTGGAATTCAACTACATGTCTAGCTTTAAGAGAATCTAACGTGCTCCTCAGCAAAGACGCAACAGACGTCTGGAGTGACAATGACACACGAGATTGTTGCGTCCAGCACTCTCAAATTTCAGTGGCCACATGGCCGAGGACGTACAACATACATGGCGAGCATAGAGCAAAGATATCTGAACAAGATTTCTACATCTGCCGCTAGAAGACAGTCTTAAGAGAAATGGAGCTGATCCGAGACAGGATACAATGCCAGTGTGGTCTTGTCTATCTGCAGAGCACACTGGTGAGGTAAGTAGGGATGCTATTAAGAGGAATCTGGTTTACGGTAACGCACCGCAACGCCTCCCTCTGGTGTCGTGACCGGAAATGGCATGACTCTGTGCTCGAGCAAATGGAGTGCAAGGCCTATCGTGATTCTACTGCACCAGATACGGAAGCTGTACAAATAACTGCAGACATGGAGCCCCGACTGGTGCCCTGTGCACGCAAGCACGTGCAGCATGCACGTGAATGCAGCTTTAACGAGCTTGCAGTTGCGTGGGCATGCTCGCTCGCACGAGCAAAGACATGGCGACGGCCAGTCGCCCCGCTTGCGGTCATCTATAGCTCTTGCAAGAAGCAGCCTTAAGATCTACATAGCGCTAGGAGGTTTAGAAGATTTAAAGAGATGAGCATGCCGTACATCACTGCCTAGTTCTGAACAAGGTACAGAACTTTGAAAGGTGAGGGAAGAGGACTGGTAACCTTTTTTAAGGTATCCCCTTTGTGCGACTCATTCTGAACAGAACCGTTCCTGTTTGAGCGACAGCCAGATCGGAATCTGTCGAATAGGGAGCAATACGCCTCGCTTCGGAGCATTTGATGTTACATTATGTCGGTTTTAATGTTACGTTGGTGCCGACGCTACGTCAGTTCGACTGAATGGAATTACGAGACAAGCCCAAAACAAAAGCCGCTGAGCAAACCGTGCTGCCTCTGCACGGAGGAATAAGGTGCCGTCGTCACTGCACCCCGCTCGCACGCAGAGCCACACCGCACGTGCAAACACGAAGCTAGGCAGAGCGCAACTAAAACATTGCGTATCTGGGCAGACGGACGAGCGCGCCTTGGACGGCCTTCGCCGGAGCGAGCCAAACTAATGCCTCCTCGGAATAGAAAAATAATAAAAAAAAAAAACGGAGAAAAAAGACCCCAACAACGTCAACAACAACAACAACAACAATGAAACGACGACACGTCGCCGGCCCCGGAGAAAACAAGTCATGCCAAGACTCCCTTGGGGCACCTGGTGGGGCCTCCGCTCAGCTGTGGGCGTGCGTCTTGGCGTGGGCGTTGAGGTTCCCCCGGTTCGCGAAGCCCTTGGCGCACACGGGGCACTTGAAGGGCTTTTCGCCCGTGTGCACGCTCATGTGCCGCTTGACCGTCGATTTCTGCGAGAAGGTCTTGCCGCACACCTCGCACGCAAACGGCTTCTCCCCCGTGTGCGTACGCATGTGGATCTTGATGCGCTCCTTGTCTGCGAAGCGCTTGCCGCACACCTCGCATGGGAACGGGCGCTCGCCTGTGTGCGAACGCATGTGCCGTGTCAGCGACGTCTTCTGCGAGAACCGGTGGCCGCACAGCGCGCACGTGAACGGCTTCTCCCCCGAGTGCGACCGCATGTGCAGCTGGTGCACGTTCTTGGATGCCAGGTGCTTGCCGCACAGCCCGCACTGGAACGGCTTCGCGGGATCGCCCGACGGCAGAGGCGCACTGCCGTCGCCACCACGCCGCGGCGCTTTGGTGCTGCCACGCGGCGCCTCGTCCTCCGATGGTTCCTGCTTGATCCGGACCTGCGACGGCCCCGACGACGCCGGCGCTTCGTCGGGCCGGAGTTGAGCCAGCGTTGACGGGAGCACGCTCGACAGCAGGAGTGGGGGCAGCGGCTGCAGGCCGCCGCTCAACGAGAAGAGGGACGGAATGACCGGAAGGAGCGCGGGCGGCGCCTCGCCGCTCGACTGCGGCGACAGCGAGCCCTCTGAGAGGAGCCCGTCGCGAGCCGCCATTGGCGACGAGTCTTCTGCCGCCGAGCTGGTGGGCGACGGCCTCCGAAGCGCCGACGGTGCCCCAGCGTCCCGCGCCCACTGCTCCGCCAGCGACAGCATCGCCTGCGCCGATGCCGACCCGACGCCGTTGCCCGGCCTGTCGCCGCCGGAGTGTTCCCCGGAGTCGCGCTGCTGGCCCACTTCGGCGAGCCCCGGCGAGTCAAGGAGGTCGCCAGGGCCGAGCGGGGCGCCGTGGAGCAGCGGGTTGGCAGCGTCCGACGGCTGTGCTGCCAGGAAGTGCGTCTGCTCCGTGTCCAGGAGAGCGTGCCGATGGCGTTGCGGCGGCCGGCCGTCTGCCAGCGCCGGTTCCTGGGGCAGCTCGAAGCTCTCCTTGGCGGCCTGCATGATGGTCGAAACCGGCGGCAGGCGCAGCGAGCCCTCCCGGCCGTGGTCTGCGAGTGCGCTTCCGTAGGGGTCCGACGACGATGACGAGAGCGCATGATGATGGTGGTGGTGGTGGTGGGAGGAAAGGGGCTCCATGGCATCTGCCAGTGCCCCGAGGTCGTCCGGGTGGTGGTATCCCTGGTCGAAGGGCGGGCCGCTTTGGTAGCAGAGCGAGGGCATCTCCAGACAGCCGTTGGCCGGCAGCCAGGGCGCCGCTGGACAGGCCGCGTCCGGAGACTCCGGCAGGTCTCCGGCCGCCTCGCTCATCGCCTCATGTCCCTGCGGTCGGCCGCCCCTGTTCCTACAACAGGGAAAACAGTTTGCTCTCACTTCAAGCCAGGGAATGGGAATTGAGTGGCACAGACCTTCCACCTATGAGGTGTGCAAGTTTGTCTGCTTATTGCATGAAGTTGTGATGACGTCAGAACGCCGAGCTCTTATTGGCCGATTGAAAAAAATAGTGTGGAGACCTCAAGGCATCTAGGACTTGGGTCTAGCCACTATCCTTTTAATCGAAGCCAATCATAGCCTGGCTTCGTTTTGACGTAACCGCAACTCCTGCGCAAGAAGCAGGCGACTTGCCCTCTGCATACTCATTTTTACCTCGCGACGAACCGTAAAGGATAGTACAAGTTGTTGAAGCCATTTTAATGCCGTATGAGCGTCACGTAACCTTCGAGAAAAGCAGAGTCGTGCCATACGTCCCCAACACCGAATTGGCTGGAGTGGCTTCTAAGTGTCCACTGCAGGCCAATGTAAGGTGAGACCAGGAAGGTAAATAAGGGAGCAGAATGCAACAAATCCTAAGTGCTGACATCGGCTGTCCCGAGAGAAAAAATGAGAAAGAGAGCGACAGAAAAGCGGAGAAAGAAAGCAGAAAAAAAGCCGACAAAGGGTTAGCGTGTTTGTTTTGCAGCGACTTGAAGTTGCTAAAGTGCTTGTCAACTTTAATTAGTTTTATACAATGTGCGATTCCTGTGTTCTCCTACAAAATAAGCTAGAAAATGGAATAGAAAAGAAGAATGGGCAATGTTTTTCCCTTTCTTTGTGCGTATTAGGGCGTCGCCAGTGATACGGGCCCAACGGGACCACCAACTGGGAACTCGCATCTCACAGGAACAGATACCGCAGATCGCGGACACAGATTAAAGTTTCCCGGAGCAATAAACATGCAGGAGCCCGCCACAAATGCGGACAAAAACGTGGGAACCTATCACAAACTTTCATGGCACGGGAACGAATACCGCAGATCGCAGACGCAGCAGAATCGCATTTCACAATACGATAGACACGCGGGGACCACTCGCGTGTTTGGGGAATCGACATCGCGAGCATAGATTGCGGACGAAAAGGCGGGAATCCGCTACCAACTCGTATGTCACGTGTATGGAACAGAGCGCACGTTTTCCTTGAATAGTAGTTTAGTTTTAGCCGCCGCTGGCATTGCCGACAAATCCCCCCCTCTTCGAGGAGAGGAGGGCTGCTCATGTATGGGAAAGGACAAGTGACCCCTACGCGATGCTCCGCGAGCAAGCACAGTCCCCCCCATCAAAAAGAATGTGCACCCTTGGGAACAGAACCCCCGAGAATGGTGTCAGGAGAGTTCGGTGAGAGAAGTATTGAAGTTCGGTCGCGAACGTCTGTCGTCCGCCGGCCCTTCGTAAATAAATGTAAAGTTATCCCATCGACTCGTTGTCGTTGCCACTGTCTTGCCATCGAAGTCACCAGCTGCAATCTAAAAGAACAGTTTCGACAACTGAAGCCTCCCCCTAAAAAGGCCCGTGGTGCCCTTCCAGCCACAGGTCAGTCTGAAGACTTCCACGGGCCAGATGCGGGCCGGGGTTCGGAGACCCCTGCAATATACAAGCAGGAACTCGCGTGTTACGGGAGGCGATATCGCGGACAAAAACACAAAAACCTGATATGAACTCGCTTGTCATACCTACTGGTACCACAGATCGCGCGCTTTACGCGATTTCCGTCAGACATCGCGTGGCGTCAGACAGGAATCGGCGGTTGGACGGCTTTTAGGAATTTTTGTGTTACGGATATTTAGCCAGAAAAAAGGGATGGGCGATCTCTCGGGAGAGGACACCTTTTAGGGAATTTTATGGTAACTCCACAGGTGAAACAGGGTATAGAGCCACCAGATAAGCTACACTTTGGCGTAACGACACTTCAGCTATCATCTTGCTTGAAATCATTACTGCTGGTTGCCTGAATCTTTGTCTGAAGTCGCACAAAATGCTGTCCGATCCTTTAGAAATGTTACAGCAGCCTGCGACAGAGAAAAACGATATTTCCCGAACTTCCTGACTCCATACTTAAAGAAGTCGTATTTTCTAAATGAAACCGTCGCCAACTGTGCCCCCCTGCACTAGGCAACAAAATGGTGGCACCTGCAAGACAACTGGGAAATGGAGTGTGCCAAGGTTATTTAGAGTGTCTGCTCCCATTTGGCCAGAAACATTCACGCTATATCTGTCCCCTGCTGTACCTTGCTCTACAGTAGGAAACAGATCTGTCCTCGTACAACCCTTCCCTGTTAATGTAGAAACCTGCAGGTCAGACCATGAACAGCTATTTGGGAATAAACTGGGTATATAGGTGCACCACTGTCCGATTACCACAAGCACATTTCCAAAAATTTTCAAACATAAAAAAAAAAAAGAAGAAAAAATAGGTCAGTGAGGCTCTTGGGTCAAAGAGGGCACCCAGAGTGCCACCATTGTTTGTTGTTTGCTGTTAAAGGGGTCATGAAACGCCTTTCCAACTTTTTCCTGTTTAGCTTTCCTCCTCAAATCATAAATCGCGCATTCTACCAAACAGTTCAAGAAGACAAAAAGAGGGAAGGCCCCTCTTGCTCGGAATCTGGTTTATGTACCCGGACAGAGCCATTGTCCCCCTAGAAGATTAGCCCGTCGCTCAAAATTAAGATTGCTTTCCCCAACCCGTTTACCCCGGAGCTGACAGTGCTGTGGAAGCTACGCGCTCGTTGGGCCAGCCACACTTGCCACATGATCACGCTTCTCCGCGCATACCCACGCGCAGAGATCGAGGTCAGGTGATAAAGGGAGGCGGCTGATTGGTTCGGCAAGCGCGTAGCTTCCACCACAATGTCAGCTTAGGGATGAAGGGACTAAGCGAGGTCCGGTTTTGTGTGACGTCAGTTTCGACCCGATGACGCGCTTTTGGGACCGTGGATGTATCACAGTGAAAGAGGCAGAGAGCTTACGAAGGGGAGGAGGTACGAAATAGTCCGCTGTGTTTTCAAATTTTCGCATTGAAAGTCAGGCTTTTGTCTTTCTACCTTTTTTTCTTTTGGCCCACTGAACGATGTGCTATTAGTAGAATCCCAATCGAAAATGATTTATCCCAACCCAAAGTCCATTTCATGGGCCCTTTAAGAAAAAGATGAGACCCAACCAAGGATTGATGGTTCGGTTTTTCCCGACTTTTAGACCAAATGGAATGCTGACCCCTTCCTCCCAACAATTCTCTACAGCAGGAATTTTCAAACTCTGTCTCGAGAAACGCCCACATCTCTCAACTGACAGACATGGTTGGCTCCCGGTCTTGGTATTGATTCAATAAAGCGGTGCAGAAGCCCACAGGCCTTGTACTCAACAAGGCACATAGTGCACCCTGTTCACCCTTAAGCCTACAGTGCGCCGGGAGCTACGCACCCGCTAGACCAATCAGTCGACACCTGGCACTGCTCTTCATGCATGGGTTTGGCCGTGAGCGCGATCATCTGGCGGAAGGTCAACGCATGACTGGTCCCACGAGCTTGCAGCTTCTGCAGCACTGTCAGCTTACGGGTGGCTGGAGTGTAGTGAGTGCGTAGCTCATAATCATGCACCAATGGGGTGGCTCCAACCAGCTGAAATAGTGCTAAACCAGAAAAATATATTACTTAGGTTCAGGGGGTATCGAGTAAATTTTGAAGCTTGGGGAACATGAGACGGTGCTCTGGGAAGAGCTGGGCTCCTAGGAACCATGTTGGAGACTTCGGGGTCCGTGGTTTTGATGACGCTCAAGGATGCCAACTAATAACAGACGTGCAACGTGTCCTAAAGAAAAAGAAAATTTGGCATTTCCTTTTATTGCAAAAATAATCTATGCATCGCCAAACGCTCAATCTCCACTTCAATGTAGCGCCGGCAGTCAATGTAGGCGCCGGCAGGCGAAAAACAGACGTCCGGCGATGCATAGTTTATTTTGGCGGTGAAAAAAAAAACCGTAAATACAGTTGAACCTCGATGTAACGAAGTCGGTAAAATTCGCAATTTACTTCGTTACATTGAAATTTCGCTAAATCAAAATTTGGCGAAAAAAAAAAAATTCCGAAACATTTTACGGGTATGAAAACTCACCGAAAATGACATTTATTTAGGGGCAAAGTAGTCCGCGAGTTTTGCTTGCGCCTTGTCCGACAGTAGCAGCGGCGTCGGCGGCGTCATACGGCGTTCGAGCGCCCAGAGCGCTTGCACGGCATCTTGCTGCCCATGCGACGCCGTGTACCTCCTCAAAACGTCCATTGCGTCGAGCACTTCCCGAGTGCTCGTGATCTCGGCAGTTTCTTCAGGATGGCGTCCAAAACGTTTGCTTTCTCATCCAAAGAAAGAACTTTACGTTTCCTTATGGCAGCAAGCACGTGAGTGAACCGCCCGGTTAAAAAATAAAGCTGTTTAGTTTAGGCGGTGCCAATGTTTCCAACCTACACGCCTACACAGCACTCTTGACCGCACAGTTTACTTGCCCCCTTGCGCCCAGAGCACCCACAGTGTGCTTGCGCCTTTGCTTTACATCACGCTCGCAAGACGATAATCGGTCTTTTCGGTCTTCTCCTAGATGGCACTGCCCGCGCGGTCGCGCCATCATGTCGCTCCCCCGCTGAAGTTGGCTCCCGCGCTACCCGCGGTACAGTGGACTATGATGATCAGTGAATGTCAGTGGTGATGCTGTTATGCCGTGTTAACTTTTTGCTCGGCATTTTCTGGCCAGCCTAGCGGAATCCGCTTTGCCGCATGCCTCGCCGGCGCTACCGGCGCCGCATCCTCGGGCAGCCTAGGAACGTTGGAAGGCCTGTCCCCGTGAAGTAACCTATCAAGCGCTCGCGTTTGCGCATAATTTTTTTTTTTAACCACAATTTTTTTCCGAAGTTTTTTTTTTAGAGTTGATTTATTTATTGCCTTTTATGGCAATGGCGCTTCGTTATATTGAAATAGCAGCAAAATAGACTTCGTTATATAGGGACTAAAAATACATGGGGTCTATGGGCAAGAAATTATGAAAAATAAAATACTTCGTTAAATCGAGGATTTCGTTACATTGAAGTTCGTTATATCGAGGTTCGACTGTATTTGTTTTTGGATCAGAAAGTAGACTTAAAAGGGCCCGTGCAGACCCAAATTTAATCATTTTTTATCTAAATGAAGTGTGCCTTTTATGTTTAAGCTGCTTGTCTATTATTTGTTGGAGGTTCAACCCATTCACTACCAAAGCCGGCGAATTGCCAGGCGCGCCATCAGGGGCCAGATTGCCAAAGCCAGCGATTCACTGATGATGATGATGAAATATGTTTATTTTCTTTCATAATTAAAGCTCAGGCAATTGCTCTACGGCATGGTCTAAAAAAATTCAAAAAGTTTTACTGAGGCCCGTTTTCTCCAGGTAGGAAATGACAGATCTGAGCAGTTGAAGTCTTCTTCCGGAATTCCCTGCTGGTTTTATCCATTCATTAAGGTTTTCGGGCTTATCTTCAAGATCTATTGTTGTATGTGCATCCTCCCTTTCTCTTCTGAAGTGTTTGCAGTCCCACATTAGATGATCGATATTTGGTGGGATCTTTTCTCTACAAAGGTTACACTCTGGTGGTTTTGGTATGAATTTTGGGTCCTGTCTCAACTTTTCTTGTGTTTCCCATTTCTTGAGGAGGTGCGGGGTTACAGCACTTCCTGTCCTTACCCTTCTCAAAAGAACTGTTTGGTATCTTTTGAGCCCAGAAGGGATAGGATTCTGTACTGCGGGATGCCTGTTTCGTAGTTGTTGCTGTAGTTGTTTTTTTGCCTCATTTATGGTAGCTATAGGATCGTATTCTTTACTCAAACTTTTTAATACAGTAGAGTATGGGTGATCTCGTTGAAATTGGCCTGGTCTGTCAGAAAAGAGGGAACGACTATACTCTTTTGCGACTTTGTTGGCAATCTCATTTCCCTTAATCCCCGTGTGTCCTGGGATCCAACGCAGGAGTATCGTTGCATTCTTCTTCTTCAGTGTTGTTATTGCCGCCTTTAGGATTTTTCGTATTGTCGGGCTTACCGCATGGTGTATCTTACATGCTCTAATAACCTCTTGTGAATCGGTAAAAATTGTTATTTTTTTCTTTTCTATTGTACTGCTGCTTGCGTGTTCTACTGCAGCCAAGACTGCTTGCGCTTCGGCTTCTTCCGGGGTGTCTGCGACTGTTGGGTATGCCCATGTTCCTACGTTTAGGAGGTGAAAGGCTATCGTTGCATTACTGTTGCTGACCGCCGCGTCCGTATAGTATATCGCTCACTCGGGGTCATTGCAGATGAGCTCAATTTCTTCGTTGTGTTTTTTGACATATCTTCTTCTTTTTTCCTGGTGATCAAGGCCCATGCTCTTGGGAATGGGAGTACCTGGAACTACCATTATCCGTTCCCATGGTGGCATCTGTTCTGGAAATTCATCCAGTTTGCTCGTGTCTTGATTTAGCAGATTCATGATGCGTCGCCTTTCTTTCGTATTGAGCATCTTAATTTTGTGCATTTCTTCCTGTGTCGCCCGTCATTCCTCAAAACTCGGGAAAGGGACGCACTTGTGTAGTTCTTCTATCTTGACGTTTCGCGGCAATCCTGCAATGCACCATCTCACATCGTTTAGTAAACTTTCCAGTTTCTCCATGTTCTTTTTATCGATCTTGTAAAATCTTAGCCCACACATAATTTTGGAGATGAGCACTGTTTGAGTCAGTGTTCGAGCCACTTTTTCTCCCGCCCCTCCGAGTCTGTTTGCCATTCTTCTGATTAGCGATGTTCCTTGTTTCCACGTTTTGGTCATTCTTTGTATCCATTTAGTTGGGTCGTTCCTAACATTGGCTGTTATTCCCAGTATTTGGTGATCCTCTGTCTTTTCGATAGTAGTCCCGTTAAGTTTTAGTTTCACGTTGGCAGGTGCCTTGTAGCCGAAAATCATGTATCAGGTCTTTTTTGGCGATGGATTAAGTCCAATCGATTTGAAATATCTATCGATCGTGTTTAATCCCTCTTGCAGGATTTCTTGCTGGCGTTTCGAGTGGCCTCTGTTTGTCCGTATTGTAATGTTGATTCACTGATTGCCAAAGCCAGCGATTCACTGGGCTACATATATTTCTGTTTTAAAAAGCCATTCATAGATGGCGCACTATGTAGACTAGGTGTAGTGTAGTTAGATATATTGCCAACAGATGGCGAGAGTTGTTCTGTTCGCTGTGTTTGTCTGAGCGCGTTCTTTTGTGTGTCGTCTTTCTTGTTCTATCGCTGTGTGCTTGGAGAAGATGGCAGCGTCGAGTAGTCGCCGTGGCCTCTCTGAGGATGAAATTAAAGATATCCTTTTTGACAGCGATAATGACGGGATGTCTGCTGAGGAGAGTGAGTTGTCAAAGCCTTCTACCGATGATGGGAGCGATTCTGACAGCAGTTCGGAATCAGAATCACAACAAGATAGCCGTGGTTGTGCGACGCCTAAGTGACCGAGAATGGAGGAATGGTCATGGGCTGACAACGACGCTGTCGAAAAAGTCTGGAAAATTCCCTTTTCTGGGTCCGCAAGACTCAAGCGGCGAAAAAGCACAGCCCTAGGTGACAACAGCTTGCCTTTGAAAACGCTGAAAGCGCTCCTTGGAGATGATGTTTGGGAGCTGGTGACGGACTACACAAATGCCTTCGCAAGGAAGAAGCAGAGCACTGAGACAGATGCAGCATGGTTTCCTATGACTCCAGGAGAGATCAAAATTTATATTGCCTTGTGCATCTTGGTGAGCCAAGTGAAGGAAAGTTCCATAAACACCTACTGGTCAGAAAGAGTGTGATCAGTACCCGTTCTTTGGGTTGGTGATGCCAAGAAAGCACTTTTGGATGCTCGCTCTCGAAGTACCTTCATTTCTGCGATGTGGCGGCAACGGGAACAGACGACAGGCTTTGTAAGCTGCGTCCAATCATCAACCACATGGTGAAAGCATTTGCAAGTGCTCACTCTGCTCATGAGAACCTCTCCGTTGACGAGAGCTTGATGAAGTTCCGTGGACACCTGGCTTACGTCCAGTTCAACCTTTCCAAGCGTGCTCGTTTCGGAATCGAGTTTTACAAGCTTTGTGAATCGTCCAGTGGCTACTGCCTCAACTTCTCCATTTATATGGGCAAGGATACTAAGTCAGATGCGACCGCTTCAATGCTATGCAGCGAAGCAATTGTTATCGACCTCCTCGGAGACCGTCTTGGTGATAGACATGCCATTAACTTAGACAACTGGTACTCCTCACCGCATCTCTTCCTGGCCATCAAGAACGGTGGATCCAACGCTGTCGGAACAGTCAGAACAAACAGGAAGAATATGCTGAAAGATCTGAAAGCACGGAAGCTGGCAAAGGGTGGATGCAAGACTTCGTTCTCACATGACATCATGGCTATTCAGTCGCAGGATCGAAAGCCTGTTAGTACCATGCTTTCAACAAGCCACAGTGGTGCTGACATCATTGGCACTGGAAAGAGACGGCACAGGGGAAATGAACCAGTACTGAAGCCTCTAGTCGTGCAAGAGTACAACAGGGGAATGGGAGGTGTTGACCGGCAAGACCAGCAGCTTGCATCATTTCCGATTGTGCGTCGCTACGCAAAAGGATACAAGACAATCTTCTATGTCCTTGACATGGCTGTGTACAATGCCTACGTGATTCATGCAAAGAAAACAGGAAAACGGCGAAGCTACACTGACTGGAAAGTGGACCTCTCTGATGAAATTATTGTGGAAACAGCTCTTCCCAGATACCAGAGATGAGGAAAGCAGCCTGTCGGACTGTCCTTCCACGCGCCTTGAGGCCGCAGAGTGAGCACACTTCCCCCGTCAGATTCCGCCGAATCCTGTCAAGCAAAACCCATGAAGGCAGTGCCAAATGTGCAGGGCACAAGGCGAGAAAAGTGAAAGTTGATGGGAGTGCAAGAAGTGCGGCGCGGCTCTGCACATGCCCGAGTGCTTCAAGATCTTCCATACGAGGAAGAATTTGTGAATTCCTAGCGATTTGTAGACTCTAACCAATCACTTAAGAATGTAAATAAACATTTTTTTTTTTGTTTTCTGCATGGCGTTTTACTGTAAAAACATATACAAGTAAAAGCAGTCATGCCTAGAGTGGGCATTTTAGGGGCAAAAAACGTGCAGTACAGACAGCCTGGCAACGCGCAACTTGCACGGTAGCGAATGGGTTAACCTTGATTCGCTAACACAAACAATTTACATTATGGACGATTTCTGAGTAGAATGGAGGCATCCGCACGAACGAGGCACACCTAATAAACCAGAGGAAAGCGTCTGCCATCTCGCCACGTATTTTGGCTGCCTTGGAACGCCAAAGCAAAGAGGCGATCGGAGCTCCAAGTAAGCCATTCTTAGGGTAACGGCACCATGTTCCTCAATTATCGTCCAATGCCGACTCTGCCAAGCAGGCGGCAATATTGCCTCATTTTCTTGCGCATTATTCTTTCACCGTGGGCCTAAGATACTAGTTCTCACAAAGTTATAAGGATTTTGTGTTTGAGGGGTTTATTTTTCGTTAAATTCGGAGGGTGTTTTTCTCAGCTTATTTTTCGGTGAAAATTCGAGGTTTATCGAAGTTTATTCCTTTTAGATTTACGATTCACCATAACTCGGAGGTTACATCATGTTTCCAGTTTTTCACTATTAAAAATAAAAATAAATATTATCCGGACACAAACACACACTAAATTCGTAAAAAGTAACCTGTATCAAATGGCATGTTAGTCTTTCTATGTGTTTTTTCTCACTCTCGTCAACTCGCCCAGGGTTCCATCTTAACAAGGTGTGTCTGCAAATGCACTTGGCAGCGGGGCAATACTAACTGTTTCATGATCAGTATGGCACAAAGTGTTGCTTCAATTAATGTCGATACTTTGAAATAATTAAACGCCTGGACATAGTTGCTGGGAAGCAAGGAAGCTCCAGCTGCCCTGCCCCTCTCCTCAAAATCTACAAGTTCATAGCTTTTGCCATCATAAAAACACAACATCTCCTCCCTCTAAGAAGTACAAAAAGTATGCTCCAAACTGGCAAGTGAAATAGTGGGTTTTGCCGCGACCCAAGAGTACGACCCGCTGTTTTGAACGAACCTTGACGCGATGAACAGTCAACTCCCTCTTGTCAATAGTCCAACATTTTGAAAGAAACCGAAGTCACCCTCTCCTCAAGATCTCTGACCCTATGCTCTCACGCAATTAATTCGCAGAATGCCGCAATTTCGTGCTCTTTATTCCTTTTTATTTTTCCTTCGTGAGACCTAGAAATCATGAATTTTTCGAATAAATCCGAATTCATAAAAAATTTCACCCGCGAGCATTTTTCCCAAGTTTTTCGAACTTATCTGGAAACACGGAACCCTAGTTATGATCGTTCCTCATAGATAGCTCATAAATTTGGTCTTGCAATACTGCAAAACCTTCATTCTTGTAGTTAAGTTCTGAAGCGCTGTTTCCTTTTTTCTTGTTAATGTTTCTTTGCGTCCGCAAGGGCAGTGTAACCTTCTGGGGCGGGCAGTGACACGAGGAGTGCCCCGGGGATTGATGTGGCTCGTCACAGCTATTAGACGTTTTCCCCGACATTTTCTTTCCTATTTATCATCTAGCGCAGGGGACACTATGACCAGCCCAGTTCGGCACCTCCCTGTCGCGTCGGATTAAGGGAAGGTGCAAACTTTTGGGGGCTTTGGGTACGCGGTTAGTCTAAGCAGTAATTGATGACCTTTTCCACGACTGATTCAGTCCCAGTAATGTGACAAAGTCATATCTGAACTGACTGGTCGTGTGGTCTGCGAGAGAGGGAAAGGTTAAATTTCGAAGAAAGGAATGAGGAAAGATTTTGGGGGACTTGGGTTGAGAGACCCGGGACTAGTAAGGATGGTCTCCCAAGCTGGGAGTTGTAACTTGGACGTTTAAAAAAATGTACACAATTCAATACTGGCAGCAAGTCGACCGGTCACTCAGCGACGTTCGTGCCGCTGCGCTCCACACCGTCAGAGCAGAATCTGCCTCCCACCACGTTGAGAGAAGCAACAACCTAACTCTAGTTATACGCACTTCCAGGGCCACGCGATACTAGACGGCACCAGAATGACAGCGTGTTCTTGGTGTGTTCTCCCATCGTAAGAGATCGTGGTTCGCTCGGTCGTGCTCAAACTCGAGCGTCTGGACCAGCTTTAAACGTCGAGAGTGGGCGTTTTCTCGGCAATTTATGGTAAACGTTTCTTTTTGGACACGTGCGCAAGTCTTATGGATGCTTACCAGCGAAGCTCCTCCTGGCTGCCTTGAGGGCACACTTGAGGGCACCACTGTCACAAACAACAGAGTGGAAGAAGCTGAAAGAAAAAAAAACATGAAATTGGACTTGCTGCACTCATTTGCAACAAATTATCGAGCAAGACTGGCAACCAGATTAAAAGACAGCGTCCCATGCAAGCTGACAGTGAGGATCCAAGCAAACCCTAATCACCCCGAGACATAGTTTACGTCACAACGATGCTATCATAACCTTCCAATGATGCATCCGGTGCCGCAAGGGTTGCGGTACTGGATCCAACTGGTGCTGGAACTCTGCAGCACCGGATAAAACTGCAGAAATCATTCTCATTTTACCATTTGTGAGGCTCTATGGTCCGACTGCTTTTGCTGACAACTTACCAAATGGCACTGTACTCCGTTCACCCCTAAGTTGACAGTGCGGTGGAAGCTACGTGCCTTTTGGGCCAGTCGTATGTCCATCTTTCATTACTTGATCACGCTCACGTTCGTACCCGTGCGCAGAGCGGGGTCAGATGAATAAAGGGACATTGTTAGTGCATAGCTTCCACCGCACTGTCAGCTTAAGGGTTAAGAAGTATAAGCTCATCGCAATACCATTAGACCATAAATTAAAAGAAAGATGGTCGATGAAGAAAGAAAAATGTGAGCCTCACAACGATTCTCAGATGTCTCCGAACCAAAAACTCCCCCGACCGACCATTGACCGTCAAAGGGCGGCAAGACGCTATTGAAAAACAAAAAAGACTCAACGGCAAAACTTGTCCATCTATTTTTAAGAGACCAATCGCTCAAGCATATTTTGAAAAAAAAAAAAAAAAAGCCTTTTAATGTTGCAGTTTGCTGGAAGTTAGCATCTGTCCGTCCTTTTCCTTCCTCAATATATGACTTGAATTACTTCCGCAATCCACGATTCCAATAACCGACAAGCTCACACTAAGTTCAGGGGCTTCGAAACTGCTTAGCGAAAACTTCATGAACACTTCTATGGATTTAAAAAGAAACAAGATGTTCAAGTGCACACTTATTTAAACCTATGTCAAAATCACACAAGCCTATATGCTTGTTATAGCTGCTCAGCATTTCAAAGGAGTTTGGTAAAAAGATCTATATTCTCTTATTCTTTGCAAAATTTCGAATACCGAATGTACTGCGGTACATTGGTAGTCATCAGACTCGAAATTAAAGTAACTGCTTTTATTTCAATATTGAAATCGAGCACCTATGTATAGGCGAAGAGGGAGGCTGTGCCCCCATGTACGTCGCAATGTCTCTCTCTCATTTTTACTGAACGGATTCACTAAAGTACAAGTCGAAGTTTCCGAGAGCTATCACGCTTCAAGTCGAAGGAACACCGTACGTCCAAACAGAAAAAAATGTGGGAAACAAGGTACGAGCGATCCAATTGGTTGATATCCGAAAATGGGCTTACGACTGGCCCCGCCCGGCAATGTCGTAACTTTGTTATGTTCGTTCAGAGGCTTTCGACAACGTCTTCCACTTCAGGTCGCTTTGCCACTTTGGCACTCTTTTCATTAGTTTCATCTTCCCCTTTGTTCTTGGCAGTTACCTGTCGAGGAATGCCTGCTATCAAAGCCAGCTCGCCCGTTACCAGAACGAGCTGGAAGCTTTTGCCAGGGGAACAACATAGCCTCAAAGAGTAAGATGCTATCTAAACTTTAGGTGGCGTTTTAAGTGCCTGGAACCCCATCAAAATAAATATAAAATATCTCTAAAGTTGAATTTTAAAATGCACTTTTCTCCGTTTCACTTTTTGGCAGGATAGTTTGTGTGAGGAGACCTATCACTTGAGATTCTGAAGATGAAAAGACTTCATTCGGTGGCATCCTGAACTGAAATTATCTCAGGAGCAAATTAAGGTGCTTATGATCTAAAAACACTCACTCCTTCATACTAACAACTAAATTTAAAAAAAAAAAAAAAGTTTATATTTTGTTGGAGGGTGTCTTTTGTTACAATTGATTTTTAACTTAACTTGTACTATGGGCACTGTACTTCACATTAAAACAGAAATTTTGTTTCCATCTGGATGAGCATCGTACTGACGTGCAGTCGGGTATCGCTACTGCATGGTGCAAGGTAGAGACCCCAGGCTAGCGGTTGTACTGCACTGGCTAAATTTCTCATCTCATCGCCAATTGAGGCAGAGCAAGCTCTAGACTGTAGAAACATACACACAAGCCAATTTCTTTTTCCAATAATTATTAGGTACTTTTTAATAAACTCCACACTGAAGTCACTTTTTCCTGGAGCTTGATGACCACTGGATGCTGTAGAATTGGCCTATAAGACTGAAACTTTGTATGTTACCATTCCTCATAGTGTTTGATTAACCCTGTAAACTAAAATAAATTTGGGTCTACATAAACCCAGTTCTACTGAACCAACATTTTCCACTGCTAAATGGTACCTGCAGCGTTGCAAGCTCCCGAAATACGTCCCTTTTGTGAGAAATAAGCTGCAAAAAGTAAATTAACAACAGCGTTCCGCAAAAATGCAGGAGCAGCTGTGTCCCAGTTGTACGCCTGGTGTTCGAGTAAACTTCAATACAGGTAATGCGGGGCTGGGGGGAGCCCCAGAAACAGAATTAAAAAAAGTGCTTAAAAGAACTTTTTTTAATGTAAGTATCACAACGGCAGTAGTAGCATCAAAAATGCCCTCGTTTTTAATCCATTTAAGTCTAATTGCACACCCTAATCACAGAGTTGTTCCGACAATTCGCTACAGCTCTGTTTGTTGCCACCTCGTTTTGGCACAAACTTATCTCGATTTAAAACAATTTATTCTAATTTCCACTTGCTGCCACCAACTCGGGCTGTAGCCGACAATGAATCAAACTTCTTTTTCTCACTTAACTCACCTCATGTTAACTCAATCTCACAATATTGCTGTACTGGAAGCGCTAAGTTATGTTGTTGCATGCTACAGTTTTGAATATGCCAAGTTATCAAACTTTTTGTAGACAGAGCACAACAGAAGGCACCCGGAGTAACGTCTGAATTTTACCAGTGGCGGCGCTGTAAGCGCATTGAGTATCTTTGTCTGCAAGCAAGCTGTCTCAACAAATACCATAAATTAACAGCACTTCAAATGAAACCAAGCAAAAGTACATATGTTTATCTAGGGTGACTTGTCAAACCTGCTGTAAATGTGTCGCGCTCGTAGAAACACGGTTTTTGCTGTGCAGAAGTGGTGAGAATAGGAACTTTGTTGATGCCTACAACACAGCAAAACTATGTTATTAATAAAAAAAAAAAGAAGTAATTTTTAAGTCATATTAGAAACAGTCTAAAATATTCTGACAGGTGAAATACTAGGCACCTTCCCACCCTCACCCCCACCTCCCCCCCACCAGTACAGACTTCTACAACCGAGTTGGTCTGACAACAATGGTATTGGAAGTGTAGTAAAAAAAAGAATAAAATGACAAGTAAACCTGAATGGATAATTCAATGCCGAGAGATTACTTACCATATTATCGACATTCAAGAGATTATCCAACCAACTACCTACCCTCACAAGATCATCCCATGAATTATCTCTCCCAAAAAGATAGCCCTGCTTGGTTTCGAAAAAGGACGCTTTCATAATAACACTCAGTATACATCCTAGAAAATTAGAAAGAAAAAGACAACCCTCATCAATGCTCTTCTAGCAAAAACCTAACATGTACAAACAAAATCAGATGTCCGTTCCATGGTTCGAATAAATGTGAAGTTTGATCTAAAACTAAATAAAAAAAAAATTTTTTTAAATTGTGCCATGGCATCTTTGGGGCACCAATAAATTGCAGGGCTAACAGCCTGGCGCGACTTGCGGAGCATTGTCGCCACACAAAACACGAGCCGAGAATAGCTACGCACATTTCATTTTCCAACGCAGCTGGCGCAGCCGACGTTTCTGGGGCATTTCCTCTTGTCAGTGCGAAAACAGCTCATGGCGAGAGCCTCCGCTAAAATGCAGGCCCCGCACAACACGAAAAGCGTCATTACGCACGTTTCGTAATGATAAGTTCGCGGAATAGTTGCATCACTTGCCACAAGCTCTCAAACTTTTAATGCGCAGGGACTTTGCGTGCTTTTTGTTTGCCGCATTATGGCCACTGTTGCCGCTGCGCCATTAAAACCTTCATCATACTTACTTACTTCGCGTGCTGGGAAAGCTTTACACACTACAAAAGGATGAAGGCAGTGAACTACAGCATAGGTTCTCAAAGGGGGTTCTAGAAATATGGGGCAGGGTGTCGGAGTGGAATAAAAACAAAACCGAGAAACCAGAAAAAAAAACAGATATTTTTGGGCGGACGGAAAGCGGATCTGAAAAGTTATTTATTATTTTGTTCCGAAGTGAAACCGAAAAACATTCTGATCAGTTTTCCGTTCAAGAAGAAAGTTCAGTTATTTCAGTGCTCCTTCCATGCAGTGAGGCAGGAGAATGTAGTTCCCTGTCTCACTGTATGTTCCCTGCATCTGGTCGAACAAGCACAGCAAAAAAAATTAAACGGCACAAAATAAAATGAACACAAATTACAGGCCTTCAGGAGAAACAAGATGGCGGCTCTATCCAAATAAACTCAGTGGCCCCAGCCCCAGAGAAATCAAAAGACGTCTTAAAGCGTTTCTCAAAAAGAAAGCTGGCGCTAATGGGCACCCTCGTTTGACAAGTGAGCAAGGCCCACTGGACATAGCATGCTCACTCAAAATGCTGGATAAGGAGCCACCCCTTCCAAAAACCACGAATGTATTGGCACTTTGGGAAGAACAAGAGAACGCCAATCATTACTGCATATTTCAACGCACAGGTAGCCCTTGGTACACAGTCAAACCTCGATGTAACAAACTTCTATGTAACGAAACCCCTGATGTAACAAAGTACATAACTTTTTCTAGCCGCAAGTGTATGCACGCCATGTATTTTTGACCTCTATGTAACGAAGTCCCGTTTGCCGACATTTTGATATGACGAAATTCCATGGACAATTTGACACAAACTTTTGGGTCCCAAAGGAGATTTTGGGAAGCACATGCGCTGAAATGGGC